CCCCCCCCACACCACCACCACACACACACACACACATTGGTAAATATGAACAAAATAATTGGGAGCAAATCAATACTTGGAAGTGGGTTGGCCTTTGCAGAGCTCGGTGCTGCAGGAAAGAGCGCCCTTGTGCAGCCAAGAATACGTGTCGACGGCGACGAAACAGCCCTCGAGCTCCTTAATGTGAATCGGATTCATAATCGATTTCAAAAGGGGCAGCAGACCCTGTATTCCCATTTTCGAAATCTCGATCTGGGGCGAGCGCCCGGAAATGGCTGAATGCTGGAGGACTGAGAAAGGTCGCGTTGAGCTCAGAAAACCCTAATCTTGGATAATGGGGCTAAAACCTGTGAACAGAAATGGGGTCTTTTCGAAACCCCATGAGAGAGAGGAGGAAGAGGAGGAAAAAGGCGGGAAGACGTCAAAATAAATTCACTTGGCGATTGTATATTTTGGGCCTCGTTAGTGGGCTGGACTGGTCATGCGGCCCAACCAAAAGAATGAAAGTATGGAACTCCATTAGTTCATCATGCCTTGTAGTTATAGGCTTCAACAAGACCTAGACAAAGACGTAATCGGGTCAAGTCTTGTTCTTAATAACAAAAAAATTGTTGGTTTGATTAAAATGAGCTGCAATATTTGTCTGTTTGTTCTACAGGCAGTGCTTACCGGGTTCCCTTTCTCCGAAAAAGGCCGCGGGCAAAATCGTACTTTGTTTCTCGGGAAATGGAAGCCGAGCAGGCAAAGGCGCGGAGGTGAAGAGAGCCAGAGGAGCAGGCCTCATCTTAGCAGATAGTGAAACGTATGGTAGTTTGTTTCTAGCCGAGGCACACCTTCTTCCCGCCACTAGCGTCACTTATAAAGACGCTCTCAAAATCTACGAATACATTCAATCCACAAAGAATCCAACGGCAAGGATCGTGCCAGCTAAGACGAGAATTCCCGCCAAACCAGCTCCTTTCATGACTGCTTTCACCAGTAGAGGTCCCAACCCAATTTTCCCCTATATTCTAAAGGTACGATAAAAAATCCACATACGTAATATTGCACACAATGAGTCTAGAGATGGATGATTGAACATACGTACATTTTTTCTGTTTTTGTTTTTTCTTTTATTTCGGTGCAAATACACAGCCAGATATCACGGCTCCAGGGCTTAACATATTGGCAGCATGGAGTGAAGTTTCCGGCCCTACATATTTTGTCGACGATCATCGTTTCGTAAAGTACAATATTTTGTCGGGCACATCAATGTCCACACCACACGTGGCGGGTGCATTGGCTCTTCTCAAGGCCATTCACCCCGACTGGAGTAGCGCCGCCTTACGATCCGCCCTCATGACCACCGGTAAAACCATAAAAGTTTAAACTTTTAAGGGTAAAATTATTTTTTATTTCAACATGTACTATAATACGTGTTTTTTAGTTTTTGCAAGCTAAAGTAAATTTCATCATGGTAAAATACAACCTACATTTTTGCGGATGATCGTATGGTCAAGAAGTAGGTGAAAGAAGTAGGCGAGAGTGTGTAAATTATGCATGTTCATGAAATTCAAGTTGCTGCATTTTATAATAAAATATACTGTAGTTTGCAGACCCCAAAAACACGTATAGTACTACACGATGGAACCAATGTTTTAGTACCCTAAACAAATTTAGGAATAGTGTGTTCTTACCTTTGAACAAATACATTTTGCACCTCTTTTTTCTCATTTGGTTCTAATTGTTTCAAACTCATAGCCGACTTGATCGACAATGAGGGCAATCCAATTACCGATGCATATGGCAAACCTGCCGACCCGTTCCAATACGGGTCGGGCCACTTCAACCCGACAAAAGCAGCAGACCCGGGACTCATCTACAACGCTTCATACACGGACTATCTTCTCTTCCTATGCAGCATTGGAGTTCACAATCTTAGTTTTACTAAATGCCCGAAAAACCCGCCCCATCCTTTTAATCTCAACTACCCGTCTCTGGCTATACCCAATTTGAACGGCACGGTTACCGTAGTTAGGACCGTCACCAATGTGGGGTGCCGTGGGCCGGGAGTCTACATCGCCAGCATCCAACCTCCACCAGGAATCTTTGTGAAAATACGGCCTTCTATACTCAACTTTAGTCGAGCCGGTGAGAAAAAAAGTTTCACCATCACGATAAAAACCGAGGGTGGATTTACGGGCACGATCGAGAAAGGAGAGTATTCGTTCGGATGGTACAAGTGGTCGGGCGATATTCATGTTGTCCAAAGCCCTATGGCTGTTTCAATACTGTAGTTTTACATATGTTATCCTGCTTTTAGGAGAAACACTATATATCAATGAAATTGTATCAACAAGATAATAAAAATATATAAATGAATGGGATATTTCATAGCCTAATTATATATTTTTTTATTAAAAAAAAAAGTATGAGGAATTAATATATAGTTACAGCACCTCATGTCAAAATTTGTATTTTTTTTTTTTTTTTTTTT